TGACAGTTGTTAGTGACATCTTAGAGAAGAGGTTGAAGAGAATTTGTTGACTGACCAGACTTGGAATGAAGAGGAGGGAAGAATCTGAGATGAAACGATTTATGGCTTAGTCACTGAAAAGCTCATGATGGGATTCTGTGCTGGGAAACAGAAAAAAGGTTTGAAAAGGAATGCACTGGGTTCAGATCTGGACAGCCTAAATTTGAAAGATACTCAAATGGCAAGTCTAGCAGGCAGTTGGAAATAGCTGTTTTAAAGTGTTCTGAGAGGAGTCAGGATGTCCCTCACGCAGGAGGTGTGGGAGTGGGAAGAGAAGGCCAGGGAGAGACTTCCAGAGTGTCCTACGAGCCTAGGGAGGAGAGTCGAGAACTGATGCTAGGCGCCAGTCAGGGTCACAGTCAGAGCAAGGTCACTCTGGCCTCCAGACTTGTGACTCCGTCCTAGCCTTGTTCGTGCCATAGCTCAGGCCCAGGCTGGACTCTAGAACAGAACAAAAGTCACACTGCGCTTCTGGAAACAATCTGTGGGGCTGTGAACACACTAAGCAGATCATAAGGAACAGTTAGGATTTCCACAGTCTGGGTCTCGTGTCCACTGCGGTGGGAAACCCGAATTCAGGGCTAAGGCATGGGCACTCCAAGTAGCGTTGAGGTGAGTTGCCCAGTGTGGATATGGACCCTCGTAGCTGTGATCACTTCCATTAAAACAGAGAAATTCCCGGTGTCCCATTGCCCTGTTCAGTTCTAAACAAAACTTTTCAAGAGCGTCTCTGTATTGATGTTTCCATCTTGTCATCTCCCCGTCTCCTCTGTATGCTCCATGGTGGCTTTCTTCCTCATATTCCCAAAAAGCATGGCCACTAAATTCCAGTCAGTCTCCACTTGGGCACAGGCAGGGTTAAGTTTCTGGTCCTCAGCTTGTTTCCAGAGTTGCTCGCTCACTGCTCCCTGCAGTACTTTCTTCCTTTGGCTTCTGGAGCACCATGTTCTGATTTTCCTCCCTTTCTTGACCTCTGATGTGGCCATGCCTAAGTGAGTGTTCGTGCTTCAGCTTTAAATAAAATGTACCTACTGAGGACTCCCAGATAGCTCACTGTAGCTCCGACCTCGTCCCTGATCTCCAGAGTACATACAACTGACAGTCTCAGTGTCCTCCTTGAGGGTCTAGACATAAAGGCACCTCAGCCGCGACAAACATGTCGGAAACCGAATGCACCCCCAGACCTGCCCCTTTTCTGCCCTTCTGTTCTCAGTGGCTTGTGCAGCATTCATCATTTTCAGGCCGGAAACCTAGGAGTGATCTCTCTCTTTTTTTTTTTTTTTTTAAAGATTTTATTTATTTATTTGACAGAGAGATAGAGAGCACAAGTAGGCAGAGAGGCAGGCAGAGGGAGAGGGAGAAGCAGACTCTCCACTGAGCAGGGAGCCCGACGCGGGGCTCGATCCCAGGACCCTGGGATCATGACCTGAGCCGAAGGCAGCCGCTCAACCGACTGAGCCACCCAGGCGCCCCTAGGAGTGATCTCTTAACTGCTTTATTCCTGCTCAGTGCCCCACACCGTCTGCCAGCAAGCCGGGTCATGTTATCACCTCCTTAATAGGACATCCGGCTGCATGGTCTGTGCCTCCACCCCCTCGCTCAGCCGGATAACTCCAGCAGCCGCCTGAGTGCTTGCTCCCCTCCCTGCGTCCACTTGGGCCTCACCGGACCGTTGTCTACATGGTGGCCCACCTGAGTGAGCATGTCCTTTCCCTCTGGCTTCCCATCATGCTTAGAATAAAATTCCAGGGGTGCCTGGGGGGCTCAGTCGGGTGAGCATCTGACTCTTGATTTCGGCTCAGGTCATGATCTCAGGGTCGTGGGATTGAGCCCTGCCTCTCTCCCTCTGCACCCCCTCCCCACCCCCGCTTGCGTGCATGCTCTCTCTCAAATAAATAAACCTTTTTTTTAAAAAAAAGAACGGGAAAAAAAATAAATAAATAAAAAATAAAAAAAAGAACGGAATTCCAAACTCCTCACCACGAGGCCTTACCTGATTTGCCCCTTCCTGGTGCTCCAGTCTTACTTAGCATCATCCCTCTTGCTGTGTACCCACACAGCCTCTTTGCAGTTCCTCAGAAGTCACCCCACTTCTGTGTTTGCTGTTTCCTTTGCCTGGGAAGCTCTTTCTTCACATATCCATACAGCTTTCATTTACTTACTGTTTGTCACTTCATCCCCTCTCCCCCAGCGTGCGTGCGTGCGTGCACACACACACACACACACACACCCCCCAAAGTATAAGCTCCTGAAAGGCCGGAACTCTGTCTCAGTCATGACATTATCTATATTCCTGAGAATAGCTAGTCCATAATAGGCACTTACTAAATATTTGTGAATGGAAAGGACATCTCCACCATATGCAAAACTAAGGAGCACCTGAGTGGCTCCATGGTTTAAGCATCCCAACTCTTGATCTCAGGGTCATGAGTTCAAGCCCCACGTTGGGTTTCTTGTTGGGCATAGAGCCTACTTAAAAAAAAAAAAAGGGAGTGCCCCAGAAACTGCATGGAGTTTTACATACCTGGCAAGAAGCCAGGGAAGGGAGAGGAGAACAGAGATGGACAGAGGTAAGATCATGAAATACCTGGTTCACTGCATTAAGTACACTGGCCCTCATATATGAATTATTGAAGATAAATTTGGGAGATCTTAAGGAAGTTTGCAGCATGCTAAGATGTGGATTTTAAAAAGATTGCTCAGGTTGCAGTGTGGAGACTAAACTAGTAGAGAGCAAGACTTGAGACCAGGAGAGTAGTGAGGAGACTATGGTACAAACAGTGAAGCATGAGAAACAAAATACCATGAAGGCATCTGGCCCAGTGCTCAGGGCTTTACTCTTAAGTTAGCAAGACTTTGTTGGGAAGGAACAAGGAAGGTGTTGGGCAGAAAGTAAAACACTCCTTTCCCTTAAAATAAGTAGTAAAGACATTGGGGCACCTGGGTGGCTCAGTCGGTTAAGCGTCTGCCTTCGGCTCAGGTCATGATTCCAGGGTCCTGGGATTGAGCCCCGCATCGGGCTCCCTGCTCAGTGGGGTTCCTGCCTCTCCCTCTCCTGCCCCTCCCCCAGCTCATGCTCTTGCTTGCGCATGCTCTCTCTCTCTCAAATGAATAAATTAAAAAAAATAGTAAAGACATGAGTGCATGTAAAATGAGCCAAGGAGGGTGTAACAGAGTGGAGGGGAAAATTCCAAATTTTAAAGAGAGAAGAGAAAATGTTATTCAGGAAGGAGACCGAGAAGTAAAGCTGGTAGAAAAGAGAAAAGCAGAATGCATTATGATCACCAAGCAGAGAGAAGTCGTACACGGGTGAGAAAGGGAACGTCTGATAGGAATCTCAGCCACAGTGAGGTGCAGAGGAACCCTTTAAATGGTTCTCCCCGGCCCAGGAGGACATGCCATGCACAGCCATTCCCTGGCAGAATTTCATAGTTTATGAAACTCTGAACCGAAGGCAGACACTTAACGACTGAGCCACCCAGGCGCCCCTCAATTCTGTTCTTTACCACTCTATCATGCTAGCCCTTTTTTACCTTTTTGTATTTGTGCCCATCTTGTTTACCTTTGACTCTTTTCCACACTGTCTGCATAGCCTCTTTTGCTTGATGTAAAAGGCAAGGCTGCCTTTCTGGCTTGCACCTTTCAGCTTCATGCCTACCTGCAGGACCTCTAGATTAACACCATAACTCGTTCCTGTTTGAACTGGCCCTGAATGTAACCACCCATAGATGATCTCCCATCACTCATGTAATGTCCTGTCCTGTAAGGCAACCTCAAAAGTTTGAATCATGTGTATTTGTGTGTGTGTGCATGTGCGTGTGTGTGCACATGTATGAAATAAGGAATTGAGACTATTTGACATTGTTCAAATTAGGAATATATAAGTAATTAAGGAAAATTAACAAAACATTTCATGTATAATTCAGGTGTCATCAGGAGGATCTGCAAATAGGGCAAGCTAATCTGCTTGCAGAGAATACTTATAGTAGAAAAGGAAAGTCTAATATATTTAGATGTAGGTAGATGTGTAATCATATATATACAAAGGTATAGAATATGTATTTTAAATACTGTGGTAAGTGCTATAATAAGGGGAATGGACTGTAGAAATTCAGAGTCAAGAAAGGACTCCATTGAGACCCCTGGGTGGCTCAGATGGTTAAGCGTCTGCCTTCGGCTAAGGTCATGATCCCAGGGTCCTGGGATCAGGCCCCACATCAGGCTCTCTGCTCAGTGGGGAGTCTGTTTCTCCCTCTGCCTCTGTCATTCCCTCCACTTGTGCTCCCTGGCTCTGTCTCTGTCAAATAAATAAATAAAATCTTAAAAAAAAAAAAAAAGAAAGAAAGGACTCCATTAACTTTTGAACTGTCTGAAGGATACAAAGGAATTGGGCATGAGGGAAAGTGGGGAAGACTTTACAGATTAGGAAGATTACACACAATGAAGAGAAATGTCATGAAAATAATTTCAGAGTCCAGGATGGCTTTGGACTGATCCCAGGCTGCCTTTCCCAATTCGTGCTCCCCTGGTTGCTCTTAACACTCACCTTCTTTAAATAGGTTTGTTTTATTCTTTTCTCCACCATAGTACTTTAGTTCCCATTATTTTTCTCTATCACTTGAATCTTTTATGTTTTCCTCTTATAGTTGGCCAGATAAAGACCCTATTTAAATAAATTAATACTTGGGATGCCTGGGTGGCTCAGTCCTTAAGCATCTGCCTTCGGATCAGGTCATGATCTCAGGGTCCTGGGATCGAGCCCCGCATCGGGCTCCCTGCTCGGTGGGAAGCCTGCTTCTCCCTCTACCACTCCCCCTGCTTGTGTTCCCTCTCCCGCTGTGTCTCTCTCTGTCAAATAAATAAATAAATACCATCAATACTTAGTTTTTTCTCTACATTTAGTCTCAGTAGCCAGAAACCATATTACATGAAACATCTTTAGTTTTTTTTTCCCCCTCCAGGATGGAAGAGCAGTCACAAAACCACGAAGTCAACTCAGACGCAGGATTGTTCTTTTCAGGAGTTGATGATGAGAAGATCCAGAAGAAATGGACCCTGGGACTTTAAATCAGAAAAACCCTGCATTTATGAAGACAGATTAGAGAAAAAGCAGGAGAAAAAAGAAATTCAGACAGTTACCCACAAAAAAATCCTCATTGTAGAAAGAAGCCATAAAAATAATGAATTTGGCCAAAACTTTAGCCCAAAGTCGGTCCTTGTTAGGCAACAGATGGTTCCCAGAGAAAAAACACCACCAAAATGTGAAATACAAGGAAACAGCTTCAAACAGAATCCATATTTGCTTAATCAACGAAAAATCAACACCGCAGAGAAACGCTATAAATGTAGCATTTGTGAAAAAACCTTCATTAACACTTCATCTCTTCGCAAACATGAGAAAAACCATAGCGGAGAGAAATTATTTAAATGTAAAGAATGTTCGAAAGCCTTCAACCAAAGTTCAGCTCTCATTCAGCATCAAATAACTCACACTGGAGAGAAGCCCTACGTATGTAAAGAATGTGGGAAAGCCTTCACTCTGAGTACATCCCTTTACAAACACCTAAGAACCCACACTGTGGAGAAATCCTATAGATGTAAAGAATGTGGTAAATCCTTCAGCAGAAGGTCTGGCCTTTTTATACATCAAAAAATCCACGCTGGAGAAAATCCCCATAGATACAATCCAGGTAGGAAGGCATCCAGCACATCCCTTCCCGGATGTCAGAGAATTCATCTCAGAAAGAAGTCCTATTTATGTAATGAATGTGGCAACACCTTTAAGTCTAGCTCATCCCTTCGTTATCATCAGAGGATTCACACGGGAGAGAAACCTTTCAAGTGCAGTGAATGTGGGAGAGCCTTCAGTCAGAGTGCATCTCTTATCCAGCACGAAAGAATTCACACTGGAGAAAAGCCCTATCGATGTAATGAATGTGGAAAAGGTTTCACTTCTATTTCACGACTTAATAGACACCGGATAATTCATACCGGTGAGAAGTTTTATAACTGTAATGAATGTGGCAAAGCCTTAAGTTCTCACTCGACGCTTATCATTCATGAAAGAATTCACACTGGAGAGAAACCGTGTAAATGTAAAGTGTGTGGGAAAGCCTTCCGACAGAGTTCAGCTCTCATTCAACATCAGAGAATGCATACCGGGGAAAGACCCTATAAATGCAACGAGTGCGGGAAAACATTCAGGTGTAACTCATCCCTTAGTAATCACCAGAGAATTCACACAGGAGAGAAACCATATCGGTGTGAGGAATGCGGGATATCTTTTGGCCAAAGTTCAGCTCTTATTCAGCATCGGAGGATTCATACAGGAGAGAAGCCCTTTAAATGTAACACATGTGGGAAGACTTTCAGACAGAGCTCATCACGTATTGCCCATCAGAGAATTCATACTGGAGAGAAACCATATGAATGTACTACATGCGGGAAACTTTTCAATCACAGGTCATCTCTTACTAATCATTACAAAATTCATATCGAGGAGAACCCCTAGGAAGTAAATTTGCATGTGTGAAAGCCTTAAACCAAAGCTCATCAGAATATCCGAGAGTGATACAACAGAAGTAATGGATAGGAAAAACCTTTCTGTGATGTAGGCCTCATCAGATACCAGATTCCAAGGATAAACCTTGACTGTGTAATAGATAATGAGGAAAGTAGGAAGTGTTCATGCCTGCCAGGCACTTTTGAAAATAACCTGAAATGAAGAATTCACAACTGGAGACACTGACTTTGGGCATTTGTAAAATAATTCTCTTCCTAGAGCAGTGTACACGAGATACCTAAACATCTGGGTGAGGGGAGGTGTGCACTGGATTTCTCATTAAAAAGAAACTTATAAATTGGTAATACTTTTTTTTTTTACAACTAACATTTAATAGCATATAAAAGATGTGATTGAATTCTACACTTTTAGAGAAAAGGACCAAATAAAAGATTAAAAACAACAACAAAAAAGAGCTGTGAACTACCTCTCCATTTCTGGGGTTTGTCCTTTTCCTGACCTGATGTCAAATTCTGTGCATGGATTTCATTTAAAAATAGAAATAAAAGTCTGTTGTCTTCATCCTGTGTTCTTCTAGTAATTGCTATCGATTGGGAAGTTTCTAACCAATTGCTAATGCTGTTCTTGAATTTTGTTTATTTAGCTGTGAGGTCATTTATGAAGAAAGTATGCCAGCTATGTACTGTGAGCTGTCATCCTGGGTACATTAAATGGGAAAAATAAGCAATTCTTTCAAGTGTAAAGCTATTAAATATCTATAAATTCACAATGGAAGGAGCTAGCAAAAGAAATTAATGAATCTAATAGCTGTGCCAAAATATTGAAAGGTACATTGATTATTTTATGACCTAAGAAGTAGGTTTTCCCTTACTTGGTGTTCTGTATCACACAACTTAAGGAAAATAAAAGGAATTATAAACAGTAATTTTTTTTAACCCTAGTTCTGGGGCAGGTACTATACTGCATACTGGGAGCCTTACGAAGAAAGACACAGCCCTTAGAGATGCCGTGAATTTGGGGAGAGGACAGAGCTGAGGAACTAGCAGTGAGGAAGCCAATTACTATATCACAGTATGTAAGTGGCTTTAACAAGCAAATAGGTAAGTTAACGATAGTATGTTGCATTGCAAGAATGTTAGGGATTCGTGCAGCATGAATGAAGAGGAGATCAAGCCTAACCAAGAAAACCTGGAGACAAAGTTTCCAGAGGCAGTGTGGCTAAGCCAGGTTTTGGAAGAACAGCAACTCTGCAGAGGGTGAAATGACTGTTCTGAAGCAGAGACCACATGCATGAAGGTACAGGTGGGTAGGCGGTCACGGCACCTTCGTGAAAACGCAAATATGGAACTAATGAGCAGGAGACGCTAAGTTGGAGTGGGACACAGACGCCAGATAACTCATGGCTTATTTGCCATGTGAAGAAGTTAGAATTTTATCCAAAATTGGTGAAGATTGTTCTGGCAACAATGTGTAGAAGATGGATTTAGGAGGTTGAAGAAAGCTGTACAGGTGGACACCTAGAAATCTGGGCTATTGAAATTCAAGTGATAGGTGAGTGAGAGACCAGACTCCCACAGGACAGATGGATAGAGAACAGGAGACAGGTAAGGCATTGAGGCATTATGTGAACACCATAAGACATGGTGTTCACAAGCAAGTAGATAAGGTTGGTGAGTGACGAGACTAAGATGACCCAAGTAGGGCTGCCAGATAGGCTGTCTATATAGGACAGGTCTCGTATTCAACGATTTTGTCCTGCATCCTGGATTGACTTTGGCAGGTTGTCCTTAGTGTAATCAGTTGTGGGGGCTTTTTTTCCCCCCAATAATGAAAATTCAGCAGAGTTCTTTTTCTGCTTCAGTAATTGGCACTTAGGTTACTTAAATGGTAACGCTAGCTGAAACCCGTACCTCCACAAATAAAGATCTGAACAATTGCAGGTCTTGTTTTCCATCTTAAAAGAAGGCTAAGACTTCTTTTGGCCAAAGTCTCCAGTTGTAAACAAATGATCACTCTTAATTAGAACTTTGGGTGAGTACCAGTGCTCTGAAAATCAGCACCAGCAGCCATGCTTCTGAAAGTGAGCAAGTTAATGATAGACCCCAGTTTCTGAAAGTCAACCAACTAGTAGACTATCTCATGCCTCTAGACAGTCGTTAGCAAATGTCTCACTCCAGTGACCACAGAAAGTATGCCTGTCAAGAACAACCTTATTCCAGTGATCACACGAACTCATTTGCAAGTCTTGTCAATCTATATAAACACCTACTTTTGAAAATCCACCAATCCCTACACCGAGCTTTCCAAAACCTTGTAGGAGATCAACTCTGGCTTTCTTCAGGGAGGATGTTCCTTGCAAATACAGCTTTCTCTTGTGGGCATACATGAAGTTTTCCTTTTCTGCATTACATATCAAGTTCAATTTGTTGCTAGTTTGCAACCATTTCAACAGCCCAACCCCTATTTACTGTTATCACCTCAGCCACATGAGTGACAAATGTGCTGATGAGGCCATGAGATTATCCTATTCAATATTTTCCAATTTTTGTGATGATTGCTATTATCTGTGTTTTGTGTTTTTGAATCCTAAATGCAAGTATAAATTTCATTAATCCTCAGAACATTGGGTATCTATTAAATCAGGAAACGTCCTTTTGAAACTTACAGGGTTAAGGGTCTGACTCTTGATTTCAGCTCAGGTCATGATCTCAGGGTTGTCAGATGGAGCCCCACATCAGCAAGCACGCTAAGCCTGCTTAAGATTCTTTCTCTCCCTCTGCCCCTCCCCTCCACACACACACACTGCTCATGCTCTTTCTCACTCTCTAAAAAAAATAATTTTAAAAAATGAAAATTTCATAGTATGAAACTGTTCATTCAGTATCAAAATTAGTGGAAAGTCATAAACCAGCATATACTAAAAGCTAAACAAAGGTTTATAATTAACTATAAAGGGATAAAGTAACAAATTTTCTGATGAAATTCAGATAAAAATAATCATAGAGGTTGTAATGATTATCAACACTGTATCATCAATCTTTTTAGCACAAATGACTGATTGCATATACAAGGAGTTTTTTCTCATTCTAAAACTGCAAATGAATTTTCAAGTGTCAGCATAAAATACTGCAATAATGAAAATGTAATTGCTCTATTTACTATTTCAGAGATTATTAAAGATCTAAAGATGCTTCATTTTGTTACAACATAGCCCAAGATGTAAGTAATCACAATGCAGGAAAAAAGTTCCTTTCCTTGTGCAATGTTTTTCTTGTGAAAAAGCCTTGCTTAGAAGGTATTGCAAGTAAAATCCCTTCCAGGTGAGACTTCAGAAATATAAAATTTTTGCAGAGACTCAGTAAATTATGAGGAAAAGTGTACTGCTTTCGGTAGCGATAATACAGATGCAAATTTTGGATGTGCAAAAGTGCAGACAATTTATTCGAAGTTACAACAAAGTATAATGGATTCTGTGGCAGACGGTGGTGGTTCTGCCCATACTCTGCATTTCTGCGTAGTGCTGCGGACAACATCTGATATCCTTGCTACTGACACTGAAATAATTATTACAAAAATGTTGCAACATTTGAGCAGTTACAGGATTTTTGTGATTTTGTTTGCATTCAATAATCTTCAGTTACTTAGCATTCAGAAACTTGTTTGGACTTCTGGTTTCAGCTATGACATGTAAACAGCTTAAAATCATCACTTCTAACAAGAAAAAGCTGAAAATCACAAGCTGAAGATCAATAACTTATCTTCCTGGGAACTGAGGTTACTGGGCAAATTGCAACACTGATCTCGAGAGACAGACATATCCAGAAAGACAGCCCAGTTCTGCTTACATGGAGCAGAAGCTGCTGGAGCCATAAACATACAGGAACATTTAAATGATAGTTTTGGTGAATTGTTGGAGGTTGAGTGTGGGCTAGCCTGAGAATGAGAGGTCCCCCACATCTCCAATGCCATTAGCTCCCTCATGCTCAACATCACTCATCATCAGGGAAATACAAATCAAAACTACAATGCGGTATTGCTTCACACCAGTCAGAATGACTAGTATCAAAAAGGCAAGAAATAACATGTTGGCAGGGATGTGGAGAAAAAGGAACCCTTATGCAGAGTTGATGGGAATGCGGATTGTTGCAAACATTGCAGAAAACAGTACAGAGTTTCCTCAAAAAATTAATAGAAATACCATACGATCCAGTAATTCTTTTTTTTTTTAAAGATTTTATTTATTAGAGGGGGAGAGAGAGAGCACAAGTGTGGGGCAGAGGCAGAGGGAGAAGAAGACTCCCCACTGAGCAGGGAGCCCGATGTGGGGCTTGATCCCAGGACCCTGGGATCATGACCTGAGCTGAAGGCAGACGCTTAACCAACTGAGCCACCCAGGCGCCCCTAATCTAGTAATTCTACTTCTGAGTATTTACCCAAAGAAAATGAAAATACTAATTCGAAAAGATATGTGCACCCTTGTGTTTGCTGCAGGATTATTTACAAGAGCCAAGTTGAATCCATTGACTCAAGAAGGACCAAGGGGGGTCGAATTTTGAAGAAGGGAACTTCTGAAAGGAAAAAGGAGGCCAAAAAAAAAAAAAAATTTGAGAAGACATCACTAAAGTACTAAAAGTGAATAATTGTCCTAGGATTCTATACTCTTTGGAATATATATATATATTTTAAAGATTTTATTTATTTGAGAGAGAGAATGAGAGAGAGAGCATGAGAGGGGGAGGGTCAGAGGGAGAAGCAGGCTCCCCGCTGAGCAGGGAGCCCGATGCGGGACTCGATCCCGGGACTCCAGGATCATGACCTGAGCCGAAGGCAGCCGCTTAACCAACTGAGCCACCCAGGCCCCCCTGGAATATATTTTAAATTAAAATAGTAAAGAATGGATATATGACAGGTGAGTACAAAGAAAATAGAATGAGAAGACCTATTCAGTTAATCCAAAAGAAAACACTTAAAAACAAAAGTAACATAAGGGAGGAGTGGGGGGAAAAAAGGATTAGTGTGAAGCCAGATATAAACCCCACAAGCCACCCAAATGGTGCTTTAGTTATGCTTCTCTAGTCGGGAGTGTCACAGCACTTTACCTGGTCCTAAGGGTTAACTTGCTTCAAGTTAGCACACTCCCTACTTGCTGACCTAAGCCCCTTGATCCCTAACAGACAGACCGCTGGCCTTGAGGAGTGAAGGACCACAACTTTCCCAGGCCACAGGGGCCGGCAAGTCTGTTTGAAACACCCTCGGCTCTTTGATTAGCCTAGCAATGTTTTAGCAAAATGTTTTTCTTTTTTGAGGTCACACAGATGCTTTTCCTAACCTCCGTTTGTGCATTAGTAGGCTTCCCTGTCCTGTGCAGAAGGAACAGGGTACTCTACATACCAGGAAACAAGAACCAGAACCCGGAACACAGCCCTGGCCCCACCCCAACACCAGCACTGGGATGACATTTGTAGTTAGCACCATCGTGTCTGCACATAATCAAGAAATGTTGCAAACCACTGCACTCCCTTTACTTGTTACCCTAAACCACTTTGATCTTTTTAATTTTT